CCCCATTCCCCACCTCCTCACCCCCTTCCCAATTGTCCCCATCCCCTTCCTGTGTCCTCATCCCCTTCCCGCATCCTCATCCCCTTCCCCATTGTCCCCATCCTCTTCCCCATTGTCCCCGTCCCCTTCCCATGTCCTCATCCCCTTCCCCATTGTCCCCATCCCCTTCCCCGTTGTCCCCATCTCCTTCCCGTGTCTTTGTCCCCTTCCCATGTCCTCGTGTCCTTCCTTGCATCCTCATCCCCTTCCCCATTGTCCCCATCCTCTTCCCCATTGTCCCCGTCCCCTTCCCATGTCCTCATCCCCTTCCCATGTCCTCATCTCCTTCCCATGTCCTCGTCCCCTTCCCCATTGTCTGTGTCCCCTTCCCGTGTCCTCATCCCATTCCCCACATCCTCATCCCCTTCCCCATTGTCCCTGTCCTCTTCCTGTGTCCTCATCTCCTTCCCATGTCCCCATTCCCTTCCCGTGTCCTCGTCCCTTTCCCCATTGTCCCCATCCTCTTCCCATGTCCTCATCCCCTTCCCATGTCCTCCTCCCCATCCACACTGTCCCCGTCCCCTTCTCATATCCTCCTCCCCTTCCCGTGTCCTCATCCCCTTCCCCATTTCCCATCCCCTTCCCATTGTCCTTGTCCTTTCCCCGTGTTCCCTATCTCTTCCCCCTGGATCTCATCCCCTTCCCCATCACTCCTGTCCCCTCCTTGTCCCCCTCGTGTCCCCCCAGGATCCTGGAGAACCTCAAGGAGGTGACAGGCACCTTCGCGCTCTCGGGCCGCTCGCTGGGCGCCATCCTGCTCATGATGTTCACCATCCTCTGTATCCTTTGGGATCCGGGATTCGGGAACGTGGTCCAGCGCTCCGGGTGGCCAGGGGCCATTCCGGGCCATTTCCAGGCTGTTTGGGGGGCTTTGGGGTCCATTTCCTGGATGTTTCAGCTCTGTTTTAGGGCTGTTTGGGCTCCTTTTCCAGGATATCTTGGTTTCACTCCTAGCAGATCTCAGCACTGTTTTGGGGATGTTTCTGCTCTGTTTTGGGGGTATTTTGGCTCCATTTCCAGGCTGTTTGGGGTCAATTTCTGGGATGTTTCGGCTCCATTTTAGGGCTGTTTCGGCTCTGTTTTAGGACTGTTTCGGCTCCTCTTCTGGAATGTTTCGACTCCGTTTTACAGCTGTTTTGGCTCCATTTTAGGGCTGTTTTGGCTCCATTTTAGGGCTGTTTTGGCTCCTTTTCTGGGGTATTTCGGCTCCATTTTAGAGCTGTTTTGGCTCCTTTTCCAGGATATCTTGGTTTCGCTCCTGGCAACTCTCAGCACCATTTCGGGGACATTTCTGCTCTGTTTTGGGGGTATTTTGGCTCAATTTCCAGGCTGTTTGGGGTCAATTTCTGGGATGTTTCGGCTCCTTTTCTGGGATGTTTTGGCTCAGTTTTAGGGCTGTTTCAGCTCCTTTTCCAGGATATTTTGGTTTCGCTCCTGGCAGCTCTCAGCACCATTTCGGGGACGTTTCTGCTCTTTTAGGGGTATTTTGGCCCCATTTCCAGACGTTTCAGCTCCATTTTGGGCCATTTCCCCCCATCTGGGGCTCTCCGGGTCCCTCCGGCTCCTTTCCGTGACTCTCCGGGTCATCTTCTCGGTGCTGCTGCGCGACCTGTTCCAGCGCTCGGACCCGCAGCGCTTCGGGGACCTCTTCAACACCCTCTTCACCCTCTTCCAGCTCTTCACCCTCGACGACTGGTCCCTCATCTACCAGCAGAGCGCCCGGGTCGGTGAGCGCGGGGACACGCGGCGGCACCAGGACAACATGGGGTGACATGGGATGGCACCGGGATGGCACCGGGACACCCTGGGAATGACACTGGGACACCCCAGGATGGCCCCGGGACAGCAGCTCCCGCTGACGCTGCCTTCCTCGCCGCAGGTTACTCCTACATCATCATCTTCCTCATGGTCTACATCCTCATCCAGTACTTCACCTTCCTGAAGTGAGTGGGGTTGGCGATAGGGATGGGAATCGGGATGGGGACAGGGATGGGGATGGGAATCGGGATGGGGACAGGGATGGGGATGAGGATGGGGATGAGGATGAGATGGGGATGAGGATGGGGGGTGGGAAATGAGTTAGGGATGGGGATGGGAATTGATTTAGGGATGGGGATGAGGATGGGGACAAGAATGGGGATGAGGATGGGGATAGGAATTGAGTTAGGGATGGGGATGAGGATGGGGACAGGATGAGGATGAGAATGGGATGGGGACAGGGATGGGAATGAGGATGGGATGGGGATGAGGATGGGGTAGGAATGGGAGCAGAGGCAGTAGGGATGGGGACAGGGATAGGGATGGGGACAGGGATGGGGATGAGGATGGGGACAGGATGAGGATGGGGACAGGAAGAGGATGAGGATGGGATGGGGATGGGGACAGGGATGGGGATGAGGATGGGATGGGGATGAGGATGGGATGTGGATGAAGATGGGATGGGTATGAGGATGGGGTAGGGATGGGGGCAGAGGCAGTAGGGATGGGGACAGGGATAGGGATGGGGACAGGTATGGAGATGGGGACAGGGATGGGATGGGGACAGGGATGGGATGGGGACAGGGGTGTCACCTCCCGTGTCCCCCCCGCAGCCTCGTCATCGCCGTCCTCATCGACAACTTCCAGGTGTCGCTGCTGAAGGAAGGGGAGGAGAAGAAGCAGCTGGTGAGTCCCGGGGCCAGGGGTGCCCGGATGCCTGGGCCCCTTTGGGACACTGCAGGACAGGGGGGACACGGGGATCCCC